TCAGACAGCTGCTTCAGGGGGGAGGAGTCATGTCAGACAGCTGCTTCGGGGGGAGGAGACGAATAGAAACGTTTTTTGTAGTAAACCAGCCACCAAGCAGGTTTTCTCCAGAGTCTGTTACCATGGTGACAGATTATGAGTTTTTCTGAACTGGAAAACTTAGTTTCTCGTAACTTTGGTTTACCAAACTGAGGGTTTTTACTAAACCTGCTTTCTGCTATACTCTGGTTTTATGTGCTTAAGAGTGCAGCTACAGCGTGCGCTCTCAGGACATTATTACCTGCAGTGTTCCCTCAATGAGGACTGAACTAGGCAAAAGGGCCTTCTCCTACTCCGCTCCTGTTTCCTGGAATATCTTACAAAAAGATTTGAAGCTCTTGACCTTGACCTCTCTAAGTGTCTTTAAGAATCTGTTGGACTCCTGGCAGGGACCAATGCAGACATGTTCCTGTTTTTAGTTTTTCTACATTTGTCTTGGAATCTAGCTGTTTTTTGTTACTTTTCTTTTTTTTTTAGCCATACTATTTGCTAAAAAAAAAAAAAAAAGATGACTTTTTATAACTATTCATTGTTGTCGCTGTTGTCCATTGTTGTCATCATTCTTTGTTGAAATCAGGTCTCTGTTGTAAATGAGTCCTTGAGGCTCAGTGGGATTTACCTGTCTGAATAAAGGTTGAATGAAAAAATATGTTTTGTGTGATTGCAACGTTTAAAAAAGATTTTTAACAAGCATTTATTTTGTGAACTCCATCTGTTGTGTAGTTTGAAATTGTTCTGATGGTGTTTACTGTGTCCCCATCTTCAGCTTTTATTATTTCACTTTTTCCAGAAAGTTTGATGCACCAAATTAATTAAAAGCATTAGTTTACCAAAAAGTCTTGAATTCCATTTTTTTTTATTATTATTATTATTTTTTTTTCTTGTTTTTGTCTTTCCCCAGACACAAATGCCTGACCCAAAGACCTTCAAGCAGCACTTTGAAAGCAAACATCCAAAATCCCCGATGCCCCCAGAGCTGGCAGACGTGGAAGCGTAAATATTCACCTCCCCTCTGGAAGACCACAAGGCTGACTCAGGACCAGCCTAGACACTTTGGACATCCACGTTATGAGTTTCAGATGAAATCTACTCTCTAAAGCACTGATTGTTGATCCTGGTAATTTATTAATGTGTCTTTGGGTGTATTTCATGCAGGTATGGTGCTTACTACTCACCTGTTGTAAATGTTTTGGATTGTTTGTTGCTTTTTGGCCTCACCGTTCACTATTAACAGAGAGTTGCCCTTTTTACTGGTTTGCACCAAAAATGGTTAATGTTACGTTGTTGGTTGTTGTAAATATTTGCAGTAAGTTTGAAAATGTTCAACTCACCCGATCAGCTTGTTGTGTGCTCTGCAGCTGCTGCAGCAGCTCGGGTCTCGTCCCGCTGCACAACAAGCTGTGAACATGTCGGGTTTGGACTAACTTTGTTTAGCAAAGCTGATCCTGATGATCACTGGAAGTCATCAACATCCAAATCCAGCATGGCCTATGGTGGATTTTTGACAGTTTATATTTCATGCACCAGATTTGGGCTCATAATTATGATTTGTTCAGAATATTTAAGTAACAAAATGCTTTGAGAGAGGCAGATGTGCAAACATTTGTGTGTTTTTGTGTGAATTAATTTTTCCAGGCTGCACTGATTATTTTTCATACCTAGAAATTTTCAAAGAAAGTTTTGTTGATGATAATCTGAAGAACATGTTAAACGCGCTGTGCTTCATGGGTTGTTCAACCACTCCTCGTGTTTATGGACAAAGTGAAACGGGGAGGACTGAACAGCTTTACATCAGCAGCTTGGAGCATTCTGTCTGCTGGAAGTGCTCTTTTGTTAAAGCTAATGGTTTGAAGTGTGTGGAGTAAATAATCCAATTGAATGACTCCAGTTTGTTTATGAAAAGCACACTGTGTGGCACATCTGTGCACAGCTGCAGTTTGATCTGATTTAGATTGTTACTGACCGTGTGACACCAGTCCAGAGGCAGTCTTTGTTGGTGTGGGGTCATATTTTGTGCAGAAGTGTTCCCACTCAGAACCTGCAGTGAAAGTCTAAACTGTAAGTCCGCTCTGGGTTTTTTGTTTTTCTACTAACTTCCTGTCGCAGCACGTCCAGGTTTCATTTGTAGAAAGGAACTATCTTCAGCATGTTTGGACCTTCAGCTGTTGAACCACTGACATTGTATCACTGTGCCAATGTCTCAGCTGACAACCAGCCATGTTTTTACTTTTGTAACGATTATATCTTTATCAGCGTAATGTAATGTGCAGCCTTTTAATAAAGGTATTTTATATTAAATGCTTTGTTTGTATTGAACTGTCTCTTGGGATGTGTAAGCAATAATATTCCAATAGTTGGAGGATTGATAAAGTGGATAATATTTTTTAAGAACATTGTTTAAATTGCATGCATGAATTACAAGCAGCGAGTAAATTAAATAAATCCCTTTTTTTGTGGTTAAGTAAGAAATTTACAGTTTTCTAGAGACCAAAAAATTGAACAAGTTTTCATCCACAGTTAATTTATTGTCAAGGAAGTGTAATTTTATCAACTGAATCAAAAGGGTTTCCAGATTTTCATTAATAACTAAAGGTCTTATCTTCAGCTGTAGAAGTTTTAAACTAGGATCATTGTGCTAAGAACAGAGGTGAACTAATGGTGATCACTCTTTAAACATGATACTGTGAGATGGGCAACACGGTGGTGCAGTTGGTAGATCTGCCGCCTCTCAGCAAGCAGGTTAACCTGGATCAAATCCCGGTCAGGGGCCTTTCTGGGTGGAGTTTGCATGTTCTCTCTGCATGTGTGGGTTTTCTCCAGGTACTCCAGTTTCCTCCCACAGACCAAAAACATGCATGTTAGGCTGATTGGTAACTCTAAATTGTCCCTAGGTGAGAGAGAGAGTGAATGGTTATTTGTCTCTATGTGTCCCAGTGATGGACTTGCGACCTGTCCAGGGTGTACCCCTCCCCTCGCACAGTGATTGTCGGACATGGGCACCAGTGACCCCCGTGACCCAAAATGGAAGAAGCGGCTAAAGATAATGGATGGATAGATGGATGGATGGATGGATGGATGGATGGATGGATGGATGGACTGACTGGTAACTCTAAATTGTCTCTAGGTGTGAGTGAGAGAGTGAATGGTTGTTTGTCTTGTTTGTCTCTATGTGTCCCTGTGATGGACTGGAGACCTGTCCAGGGTGTCCCCCGCCTCTTACACAGTGTTGGCTGGACATGGGCACCAACGACTCTCACTACCCAAAACGTAAGAAGTGGGTAAAGATGATGGATGGATGGATACTGCAGGATTTCTAGCTCAGAGTGCATGGTTATGTACCGAGTACCAGTAGCCATTTTTTGTGTGTTTTCCCAGGATACTTAACTGTGTCAGACATCTCAAATTGAGCTGACTCTAAAGGTTAATCAGTTGCACATCTATAGATTACTTTCAGGGAAGTTTTGATAAAAATCCATTCAATTCACATGATTTTTTGCTAACAGAGAGACTTGACTTCACAGTTGATGTTAAACCTTTTGTGCTATCGGTAGCTCTCTTGAGTAAGTTGCGAATGACTCTCAGCTGCTACCACAGCAAGTTTAAGCTCAGTATCTGAGTTTTGACTAATCCATTCATTCAACCTTTATTTAGACAGGTTAATCCCATTGAGCCTCCGGGACTCATTTACAAGAGAGACCTGATTTCAACAAAGAATGATGACAACAATGCACAACAGCGACAACAACAGACAGTTATAAAAAGGCATACAGATTTTTTTTTCAAATAAGATGCAAAAAAGTAACAAAAAAACAGCTAGATTATAAGGCGAATGTAGAAAACTAAAAACAGGAACATGTCTGCATTGGTCCCTGCCAGGAGTCAAACAGATTCTTAAAGCCACTTAGAGCGGTCAAGGTCGAGAGCTTCAAATCTTTTTGTAAGATATTCCAGGAAACAGGAGCGGAGTAGGAGAAGGCCCTTTTGCCAAGTTCAGTCCTCATTGAGGGAACACTGCAGGTAATAATGTCCTGAGAGCGCACGCTGTAGCTGCACTCACGCAGAGACATGTAGGAGGAGATGTATGAAGGCAGCAGACCAAGAAGTGATTTAAAGATGAAAATGTACCAGTGAGAGAGTCTGCATGAAGTTAATGATGTCCAGTTAACCAGTGAATACTGGGTGCAGTGGTGGGTACGATAATCACAGCCAGTTATGAATCTTAGTGCACCATGATAGACAGCATCCAACATCTGCAGCATCCAACATCTGCAGGGTGCTTGTAGGAGCGTTTATGTAAATAATGTCATCGTAATCAATGGAGGGAAGGAAAGTCACAGATACAAGGCGTTTTCTAGCATTCAGGGTTAGACAGGATCTATTTCTGAAAAAGAAACCCAGTTTAACTTTCAGTTTCTTTACCAAGTTTTCCACATGGAGCTTAAAAGAGAGATGTGAGTCAACCAAGATACCCAAATATTTATAGGAATCAAAAAACTCAATGGGGGCACCATTTGAGGATAAAATCAGAGGAAGAACTGCTGGGACCGACTTCCTGTTTGAAAAAAGCATCCCTTTGGTTTTATCGGCATTTAAAACAAGTTTGAGGCAAAACAAATCTGTCTGGATGATGTTGAATGCAGATTGCAAAAGCTGGAAAGCCTTAGCAACAGTTTTAGCTCGACAATAAACAACTGTGTCGTCAGCATAGAAATGTAAGGATGCATCAAGGATGCTCTGACCTACATTACCTATGTAGATTGTAAAGAGGATGGGTTCTAAGACTAAACCTTGTGGTACACCATTGTTGACTGTGATGACTTAATGATCATCCTGTGAAGAGAAATGACTGATTTGTAACAATTTTGTCTAAACCTAAATATGAAATTTACTACGGTTTGAAATGTGTTTTGGAAAGACTCTTAGCTACTACTACATCAAACTTTAGCTCAGTAGTTACAAAACTGGCTGAGTTTGAATCATTTTTGTGTTGACTACAGTACCATTCATCCATCCATTATCTTTACCCGCTTCTTCCATTTTGGGTCACAGAGGTCGCCGGTGCCCATGTCCGGCAATCACTGTGCGAGGGGCGGGGTACACCCTGGACAGGTCTCCAGTCCATCACAGGGACACATAGAGACAAACAAGACAAACAAACATTCACTCTCTCACTCACACCTAGGGACAATTTAGAGTTACCAATCAGCCTAACATGTGTGTTTTTGGTCTGTGGGAGGAAACTGGAGTACCTGGAGGAAATCCATGCATACACAGAGAAAACATACAAACTCCACCCAGAAATTTCCCGGACCGGGAGTAGAACCGGCGACCTCCTTGCTGAGAGGCAGCAGCTTTACCAACTGTGCCACCGTGCTGTCCGACTACAGTACCGTTGATTTAGAAAGGTGTTGATGAACATCCAGTGATTATTTCCTGAAAGCTTCATTAAAATCTATCAGGAGTTAGGTCATGGGAATTTTTTTTTTTTATCTTGTGCAATCGGCTAGTGCTCAGAATACATGTTACTAATACCACACCCATTTTAGCTTAATATCTGTAAAAATGTCTGAGTAATAGCCATGTTTGTGTTTTGAGCTCTGTTGGCTGTGGCAACCATCTTGATCTGAGCTGACAGACGTCTTCAGTCTCTAGTTGCTGGAAGCCTGTTTTAAAAGGCAGACGTTTGTCTTAAAGTGATGTAAAACAAGTGAAGCAAAAAGTGTCATTGTTTTGAAAGCCCCACATGGGTAAGTTTTTATAAATCTGTTTTTTTACTCTGTTAAAGCAGTGGGAGCAGACAGTTTCAGCTCTGCTCCCATGAATAACCAGTGACACTTTACTGGAGAAGAAACCCAGAACTCATTCGGTAACTATGTAAACAGTGGGGTCAGTACGACTGGGCCAACAGGTTTTGTGAACATGCCTTTACACGGGTTCGCTTTATGCTGAACACAAATGCTACCAGATATGTAAGCACCCTCCCAAAAAGACAGTTAGGAAAAAGTCTAATGCACACTAGATTTTATCATTTATTTATGGTGTGAACGCTGAATCAGCATTCCAACAACGAGTTAGTCGAGCTGTGGTAATGAGAGGCCAGTAGGTATTTTGTGAAAGGTCATGTTCTTTGACTCAGTAATTCGGATGGACTCTTTTGATCATAGCCGCAACAAAGGCAGACGTGTTACCAAATATCTCATGAACCGCTCAACAGATTTGAAAGAAATGTGGACAGTTGTAATGTGATGCCATCTTTTTAGAGGTTTGACCAAAACTGCTGCAACTGATGGACTGTTAATCATTTAACATGTTCCTGGTTGTTCTCTTAGGATTGTACTTCACTTTAGTCAACCCTAGTTGTTTTAGATGTGATTAATAAACGAAGTTGACTGATTTATTTATTAATTTTTGGCTACATTTTGCTTTTGACTGGAATCGACTTGAGACAAAACCTCAGGCTGTTGCTGTTCGCAGGCTTGCTGAGACCTATCTATTGTTCTGATGTACAGAAGCTTGGAGGTGATGTGTGTTTCTGAGCATGTGTAATCATAGCTGGACTGATGGAAAACTTGCCCAACCAGTTTCTTAGACTTTTAACCCTCTTTTTCCTCCTCTACTGTTGAACTTTCACCCCTTTTTGTACCACAGTTTGACAGGATTAAAAAAAAGTTTGTTTTAATTCTTATTTTGCTCCTTTGCCAGCTCACTACAGCCAATGATATCTGATCTGCCTTTAAATAGGTTACAAGCTTGAAAAATTGGCCTAAGGGGGAAACCATGTGACAAGGCAAAAATAGCTTCACTCTCTCCGGATGGAAACCGTCCAGAATGCAAAAATAGTAGTTTCTATTAAGCCTGATAGATTTAGCCTGCTGTAGCTGTGTCTTGTGTTCTAGTTTACAGTGCCCTCTGCATCTCAAGCTAATAGCTACTCCGACGTCAAAGTCAGCAACATACTAATTACATGTGTTCATGATGAGCTTGGTTCTGTACAGTAATTGGTGCTACAGTTCATTTGGGGTTTTAAAACTATATTAGTTAGTTTACATTTACCAAAAAAAAAGATTTAAAATAAGACCAGTGTTATCAGACTTGAGATTCCATTATTAAAAACTAAAGTGATAAATCTGAAGAATAACCAACACTGATATCCAATCATTTATCAAACAAAAGAAGTGTTGTCAAAGTCAACTACACTTCCCACAGTGCCTTGCGTTTTGTTGCCGTGGTAACGGTTGACGTCAGTCCTCTACTCGGGCGCTGCTCCGGCCGTGTGTTGACTCGTGTGATTGGGAGGAAACGGTCGCTGCCTTCATTCGAACGGGCTGAGAGAATCAGCTGAACATTGGTACGCCGACATCCGCCAGCACTCAGGTAGTAATTGGGTTTTTAAAAACTGCGCTTATGAATTTAGCGTAATTTGTCTGGTTTACCGTCTAATATAGCTTGCGATATCATGGCACCTCCTTGTCCACAGTTGCGTGTAACGGCGGCGCTCAGCAAACTACAGAACAATGGCCAGCTTAGCTAACGTTACAGTTTGGGATATGTCTAATGGCTGGTTTCTACAGGGCACGCCAAACGAGGAAGGGAAGGCGTGTCAGTGTGTGCAGCTAATGCTCAAATTATACTAGAAACAAAATATCAAGCTGGTCATTTTCACTAAAGATATTAGTTTGTGTGCCCTTTGTTAACTCGAGAAGGCGATTTAGTCCAGAGTGTTCGGGTGATTCTGTGAAAGTACACGTTCTTTTTTTAACGCTACACACGGGCACAATAAAATGTGTCACACGGTAATTTATCAGTTTCGTGGCCATTTACATTTTGAGCATTGACGAGGAAAAGAACTGCTGCCAAGTCTTGACTCGCTTTTCAAAGGCGTCGCTATAAATATTAACATGTATGTGGGGGTGAGGGGGGGTCACACAGTGACGGCAAAAAGTAACATCTCTGTCCGCTTGTCAAGGTTTCATAACTTGGGAGCGCTGCTGTTTCAGGAACTAGTTGGCGCCATATTCTGGGAACTGGTCACGAGGGGCCTCGGTGTGTAGTAGTTGGTTTTATTTGTATCCAGTCGTGTTTGTGACCAGAAATGTGCACGTTAGTTCACGTTTCGCTCTTTTGCGTCAAGTTCTGTGAGGAAATGCAGACTTATTTAGACTAAGCTTGGTTCCGTTCGAACTTTTCGTTTCCGGTTGTTGGGCCACAGGTACGGGGATGGGTGTGGTGACCGGGACAGCCTCGTGCCTTGCTCTGCCAAATGGTTTCTTCCTTTGTTAAACCGTGAAAAAGTTCATTTTGTTTTATTGTCAAAGGGTCGCACCCCTCCTGCGTTGATTCGTGTTTGCCACAAGTATGCGGTCGCTCGTCTGTTCGTGTTTGAACAGTTCCAGTTCTTCACACAGCTGAGGTATTTAACACCTGCCCCTCCCTGAACAGCAACATGACCGCCCAGAAACGAGCTCTGCTCAACTTGTGTCGAGTGGAGTTCAGAGGAAAAGCTGTCACAGACACATTTCAGCTTTAGTTTTACTGTTCTGCTGAGTGGGTGTTGGATACACAAACTGAACTTGTAATTTAAGCAAGCCAAATTACTATGACTCGCCCAACTTACATTTTGGTTTGTGAGTATCTGAGTCACTCGAGCACGGTCTCGTTGCACAAAATGTTTTAAAAACGTTTCCGTTAACTGTTGGAGTCAACTGTGGCTGCATGAACTACAGGACACATTTTAATAAAACTCACTGGGTGTACCTCAACAACTAGAAGCATTTTGGGTCATTCCAAGATGGCTACCACTGCCAGTTAACCCAGGACACACACAGTGGTTATAACTGAGCCAGTTTTACAGATAGGAGGGTAAAATCGCACGTGATCGTGGTTGACCCATCTCCAACTCTTAATATGAGCTCAACACACTGTGCGATGTTTATGCCTGACTCTTTATTTGCCGTTTGTCAGCACTGTTAGCAAAATATTTCATAAACCACAGGAGAGATTTTGGTTGGATTACAAAACGTAATTGGCTGAACTCAACATTTGGGGTCAACCCAGTTCTAGATGTCTGCCACAGCTATTATACATTAGCTAAAGTAAAGCATGTCTGTAAGTAAAATGTCCAGATATTCTCCAGACGTTCTGAGTGTTAACACGTCTCATGACATCACGCAAAATGCCATTTACAATGTTGGACCAAAAAGGCTATAATTAAATTTGCAACATAAGATTCTGGCATGAAAGGTGGCGGGTGATATGCAGTCGAGTAATGCCAGGCCTTGTCCTTTCCCCCCCATCCCTCAGTGAGCAGTCATGAGCGAGCCATCTCTAAAGGAGCATGTCCAAAAGGCCAAGTTGGCCGAGCAGGCCGAGCGTTACGATGACATGGCTGCTGCGATGAAAAAGGTGACGGAGGAGGGCGAGACGTTGACGAACGAAGAGCGCAACCTGCTGTCTGTGGCCTACAAGAACGTGGTGGGCGCTCGTCGCTCCTCCTGGCGCGTGATTTCCAGCATCGAGCAGAAGACCGAGAACAACGAGGGCAAGCAACAGAAGGCCAAAGAGTACCGGCACAAAATTGAGACGGAGTTGAAAGAGATCTGCAATGACGTTCTGGTGAGATTTACGTTGCCGACTTGATCAGTTTCTAACAACTTTTCACCCACTTGTTTGGTTCATGTGTGTTTAGTGTTGTAATTTAACCTTTTGCTGTCAAAAACGTCAAGTTATTGAGGCTGCACTGAGCTAGCATGTCATGCTGAAGGTATTTGAACAGTGAACACGAAGAACTCAGTGGATGATGGGGACTTCAAAAACTGAATTTCCACTTGAATAACTTTTGTGGCAATGTAGCCCACATGTTTATCAAATAATCCAGACTGACACAATCTGGGTTTACATCAGTGAGAGCGCAGTGCTCAAGCAACACGTTTGAGTTGTGTTCATTATGATCATGAACCTAACGAGGATTTTCAAAAGTGTGTTCACAAAAAGATGAAGCCTGTTCAGATGGATTTACAATAAGTTGATTCATCTGCTTAATTGTAATCTCAATATTCTGTCACATTGTACAAAAAAAAAACACCTTTGCTGACACATCCAATATTTTCAAAGTGCCCTCAATCTGAACAGTCATCACATTTCATCCGGCTGTTATGGTATTCATGTAGGAGTAGGCATATCGATCCAAGTGTTCGTCTTAATACCAGCATTGGTTTTAGATCGTATTGAACTAACAGTGTTGGGATCAATGCTTTCTTACTTTTATGACATCATTCTTGTCACAGAAAGAACGCAGTTCTACTTAATTACTGACATCTACTTGTCAAATTCTGTGTATCTGAAGAAAAAGCAGCGGAGTAAAGTTTAAAATTAAAATTTATTCTCATACTTGTAATTCAACTGATGTGATGCAACCTGTCAATCAATCCAGTAGACCAATCAACGAGCTCAATTTGTCCTGAAGTAAAACGGCCCTTGCCTGCAGGAACTGCAGGCAAGGGCCGTTCTCCTGACAACAATGTTGGGATTTTGCATTAAAAACGGTCACGGGGATTTTATCAAAAATCTTAAAAAAAAATAAAAAATTATGGTTAAACGTCAGTGGGGAAAATGCAAGTCAGACACTCATTACCCTGAGCGTTTAAAGCAGGGGTGCCCAATACTTCAAAGGTGGTTTGGGTAGATTGCATCACATAAAAAAATAGACTTTGAAATCTGTTACTTGATGTTTCTACAGGGCAGCCAGTCAGGCCCGTTCATGCAGCCTTTCTGCTGCAGCTCGGCTCTTCTTTTACACAGCCCGCATTCTCTCTTAGCTCCAGGTCTCAGTGGAGATTTTCAGGGACCCCCCCCCCCCCCCCCCATGGAGGTGTGATATGCTCCCAAGTGTGAAGTCACACATGCACACTAAAGGGGCCTGCAGTCCAAAGTTTTTCTGCACTAACAGCAGTTATACTAAACGGCCGAGAGCAGTGTTTTTGTGCTGCTCACCTTTTTTCAGCATGTAGGAGCGAAACTAATCAAATCCAGTTCCAAAGAGACGTTTGTGTATTCACAGTTTGGATGTAGCTGTGGTCATGCAGGCGCTGCATGCGTGATGAGGGTTGCCAGATAACATTTGAAATGTCTTATTTACCCCTCCTTTTTTGTGCACATGTTCAACAAATATAACGCACACCTCATCTTAGAATATCTTTACTCAGCACACATGACAGTTTAAGTCAAAATACTACAATTTTAAAGCCACAGTACAAAATTTTCACTCTGCTCACATATGAACGCCCACCTACCCATCCAGGCTGTGTCATTGTAAAGCAGTGGTGGGATGCATCACAAACAATGATGAGTCCAGCTACAGGCAGGAGGTGGAACACTTCAGTGTGAAGAAGACAAAGGAGATGGTCGTGGATTTCTGAAGCAGCAAACACATCTACCCCCCTCCCCCCCTGCACATAGGAGGATCTGTGGTGGAAGTGGTTTCCAATTACAAGTACTTGGGTGTGCACCTGAATGACTACCTCAGCTGGAGCAACAACAACACCACCTGCCTGGTCAAGAGAAGGAGAATGAAGGGAAGTTTGAGCTTGTCATCACTGTATGTTCCCATAGAATGTCTAAATTAGTTCCCTGCATTTAACCCATCACACTAGGGGTGGGCGATAAAGCTCAGATATAATGTTGTGATATTTCAGAGCATTCTGACGATAACGATAAATTTCGTGATATAACCAAAAAAAAAAAAACAGAAATCATTTATTAATTTGACAAAATTAACTTAACATGTTGCTTAGCAGTATTATATAAAAACCAAAAGAACAACAAGGGGTAGTTTTACTGAAATTACTTTATTTAGTAAAGTATTCAGTCTACAGTCTAAAAGTCTAAAAATAAAAATGATCCTTCTGTTATTTAGATTGAAAGTGCACAAAATATAGAAATATATAAAATATATTAAAATAAATATATATGTAGATGTATATGTGTATATATATATATATATATCAACAAAATCCACCACAAAAACTAAAGTGCAGGTGCAGTTTCCCAAAATACCAAAATAAAATGAAGCTTAAGATCTGTTGAGCATAAATGTAACATACAACAAAATATGTTTCCTTTAAATGAACCATAACTTCCAGAAGTTGTAACAAGGTGATCAGCTGACCCTGAAGCTTGTGGTGTTTCAGCTTCCTCTGTTCCTGCAGGGATGATTAATTTCTCTGATGCTCTGTCTCTGATCACATGACTCTGTTCTTGTTCCATGGACTGTGGAACTAAGAGACAGTTGAGCTTTTGCATTTGTACTGTCAGTTTAGAGTGGGGGAGACGCAGCCCTCACCGGCAACCCAGAGCAGGGTGGGGAGAGAGAAAAAAGACAAGTGGCAGCTTAGAGCGGGGGCGGGGGGGGGGGGAGACAGTTGATCTGTCTGTACCTGAAGTTTAGAGCTGGATGGAGAGACAGCTGAGCCACACGTTGTTTGTTTTTAGCTTTTTATCTAGCTAGTATTGCGCGCAACTAATTAACTTTACACCAGTACCGACAGGTGGAGGGGATGCGCAATTCAGTTTGGTTGTTCAGCGCGCTCGGTTCTGTTAACAGGGCGGGGCGCTCTGATGTATTGCGTCATAAAATTAGCATATCATATCATATTTTTTTGCCTGGGCAAGCTTTTTTTACCGGTGTTATCGTGAACGATATGATATGGCCCAGCCCTACATCACACCAGAGATACACTCAGGTGGAGCAAAAAAGCACATCAGTGGCTCTACATAGGCAGCTGAGATGAGCTGGTCTGGGAAGCTCAGTCCTCACTTCCTTCTACGTGTGTGCAGTGGAGAGCATCCTGTGCTCCAGCATCAACGTGTGGCATGGAGGCTGCACAGCTGCAGAAAGAAAAGCTTTGCAGAGAGAAGTGAAGGCTGCACAGAAATCTGTCGGAATCAGCCTCCCCACCATCACAGACATCTACACCTCTAGATGCAGGAAGAGGGCCACCTGCATCATGAAGGACCCCACTCACCCAGCACACACACTTTTTGCCCCACTCCCCTAAGGAAGGAGGTTAAGGAGCATTAAGTGTAGAACCACTAGACTGAGGAACAGCTTCTACCCTGAAGTTATTAGACTCATGAATCCCTAACCAGGATTATCTCTGTAATGCCACTTTAATTGGAGATTTGACACTTTTATCCATGCTGCTGATTTCTTAACCATTTACCTATTACATGTTACAATGGCATGCTATACCACTCGAGTACCATCTAGTGGCTGAAAATGGTAGTGTTCAATATTTCCAGTCAGAACGAATGAAAACAGTCACATCTGAGCCAGAAATTGGTTTATAAATATGGGGGGGTTGGCATAAATAAATTGCTTTGGCTTATAAGTCGCAGGGTATGCAAATGAGGCAAAAAGGTGTAAATTATAGGCCGGAAAATACAGTACATCACCAAAAACAAAATGTTGAAACGCTGATCACGAATTTAATCTGTCACTGAGTACAAGAGAAAAAAAAGACTGATTTTGAACAGTGACTGTCAACCTGTTGTTCGTTCTCCTTATTTATTGGCAAATTTAAATAAGTAAATATTTTATTTAGTATTATAATAATAATAATAATAATAATGTCATCACAATGTCAGCACTGTATGTTTCCATACAATGGCGAAATTAGTCTCTGCATTTAACCCATCCACCACCAGGTGGTGCAGTGGGCAGCTATTGAAAGCGCCGGGGGACATTTTGGGGATGAGACGTGCTGCCCAGAGACGCCACGTGATGTGCAGTGACTGGGGATCGAACCTGGGACTTTCGGGTCCCAAGCCGGCTGCCCTGCCTCTACACCATATTATGCCATTATACTTGTAATATAAGCATGATTTTTAAAAGAGGATCCAGGCAGGATGGAGTGTGGGGAGAAAAGTTTCAGGAGTGATAACAAAAAGGTGTCACCAATGGTCTAAGTTTACAAGACAGTGGTGAGACCAGCTCTGTTGTGTGATCTGGAGACAGAGACATGGACAAAAAGACAGGAGACAGAACTGGAAGTGGCAGAAATCAAGATGTTGAGGTTCTCCTTAGGAGTGACTAGGATGGATAAAATCCTCTACAGGTTGTCACTTTCATTACTTTTGTCTGTCCAAGCAGGTCTCACTTGTAAATGAGTCTTCGAGGCTCAATGTGACTTATCTATATAAATAAAGGTTGAATGAAAAAATGAACAAGATTTGGAATGAGATCATCAGAGGCCCAGCACAGGTTGAACAACTGGGAGACGAAGTCAGAGAGGTCAGACCGAGATGGTTTGGACATGTCCAGAGGAGGGGCGGTGGGTAAGAAGGGTACCTAAGGTACCTTCTACCTACCAATAGGTAGAAGGGTGTTAGAACTGCAGCTGTCAGGAAAAATACAAAGAGATCATCTATGGATGCAGTTAGAGAGGACATGGAGGTGGAGTGAGGACAGAGTGAGGAGGATGACTCACTATAAATCTACTGGGATTGTTGAATTGTAATTGTCTTCTTCTCTTAATATTTTAAAAGGCTTGTTTTGAGCTCACGTTACATTTCATTACTTCCGGCAGCACCCATTCTCTGAGACGGCTCCATAAATGGTTCCATTTTTTTAATATAGTTCAACTTATCCAGCCTGGCTAACTTATAATATAACTAGTTTTACATTATTTCAAAGTGTTGTTTTTTTTTCCTTTCTGCATGTTTAATGTTTCTCATGAGTAAGTGTTCAGCTGTTCATGTGTCCACTCGTGTATTCTGTGCCCAGTGATGACTCGGGGTCTTAATCCTAGAATTACAGACCCACCAGCCTCCTTCATCCCTGACCTGTACTTCAGCTTACAGCCTTATGGAGAGTGAAGGAGGGAGGGCGATGACACGGGCAGAGGAGAACGTAGGTTTAGTTTATGGCTGATGTTTCATAAAAAAGAAACAAGAAAAGGCTGGTTAAAGTTTTGGCTACATGCTCAAGGTAACCAAAGCAGTGGAGTGAAATTAAAAAAGGTCATTTCTTACCTTCTTTTCCTTCAAGCTCCTATTGAAAGCACTCAAATGTTTGCTCGAGTGGGAGGGAAGAGTTCTGTGTAATCATTTTGGTGCAAATCCTATACTTCTTCTTTACATCCGCAAACCTTTACTTGTATCAGTTAAAAATATATATATATTTATGAAGGGGGGGTTGTTGTATGCCCTACGAGGGTTGAAATCTTGACTTGGTGTTGACGGTAAATTAGAGAATTTTGGATTGAAATAGTCTTTTAAAACAAGCTTAGAAGTTTTAATAATCTCAGTTGAGATCTTCCATAAGAACACACATGTGTCTTATTGGTTTTATTCATCTGTGAGTTTAATATTTTAACAAGGATGCAAAGAAACCACAGAGGTGATCAAAATGGGTTCATGGGATAACCACAAAATAAATTACTGGTTTTATTCTTCTTAGAAATTAATAACCATACACAAGACAAAATTATGTGGGAGTGGTTGCACAGAAGTTGGAGAAGATGGGCCTGTGATCGGAAAGTTGCTGGTTCTACTCCCCGGACCAGCAACATCAAAATGTTGGTGGGAAATGTGAAGCACACTCACCTGTCTCCACCCTCATTTGCTCTGGGCCCTTGAGCAAGGCCCTTAACCCCCACCATCTGCTCCTCCGGGCGCTCTAGGTAGCAGCTCTCTGCTCCACACCGAGGGCTGTGGTAGCTCTGTGGTTGTCAGGAAGGACATCCGGCGTAAAAACAATTTCAAAGTCTTGGTGCGAGTTATCGCTGTGACCCCTGAAGGAGCAGCTGAAAGGAGAAAAAGAAAAACGAGACAAAGTTAGCCCATCATGTACCGTAAAGCTTTTGATTGCATTTTAGTTTTTAGATTCTTGTGAAATCAGGGCAGATTTGAAATATTGTATTTCAGATGTGACTAATGCAAGGAAACAAGCTTTTTAAAGGTCTAAACTTCTGACATTTGCTCATGAAATTAGAAGAGAAGTGCTTGTTTATAAAGTAGCTCCGCATTAGAAACCACAGAAAAGGCTGAGGTGTCGGGCTCAACAATAACTTGGATGAAAGCAAATGATGAAAACCCAATGCCTTTAATAAACTGTCCAACCACAGAAGTGCTCGTTCTTCTACTTGAGCTCTGTATTTATATTTTAACCAGCAGCTAAATGATAAACAAGCAGACGCGTTCCTCAGACACAGTGAGATCCATTTCATGACACCTTTGTTATATTTCTAGGATTGGTTTTAAAAGTTGACTGGATCCCAGCACCGTGTACAGAGCGCAGGCTGATGTGGTGTGCATGTTGCCACAGCAGTCTTCTGATTTTAGCTGTGCCCTTGTCGGTGTCCCAGTTTTACATTCAGGTCCCAGGTGGCTTCTCTGATCCCTCACACCGCTTCCAGAGCCCCCGGAGCCAGACCAGCACTGGCCTCAAGTCTTAATGTGATCCTACTGGTGTTTTCATTCTTATTTCTAAAAACACTTACTGGGACTTCTGCTTTTCATCGTGTGGACTTTTTGTTTAATTTATTTAAAAGTGTTAATCATGTTCATACAGATGTTTCTCATGGCTGCTTGGATTTAAAAAAGTGTTTCTAATTTTTATATTAAGTACACAGTCACATGGTAAATTGTTTTACTTTAATTAGGAGTTGATCCTTCTGTCAAATCATTTTCCAAGTGTTTTTTTTAACCTACAACACCCTAACATTGATGCTCCCCCATTTTTGCAGCCCAGGACATCCTTGTAAAAGAGATTAATAATCTCAATGGATTTATTTTCTGATAAAGTAAAGGTTTAAATAAATAAGTGCACTTTTCATGTAGCATCCTCCTCCAGCTTGTATTCAGATTAGCAACATGAACAGATTATCAAGTGGTGCATGCTTGTGTTGTAGAGTGCCAAGCTGGAGTGCATGACCTACTTCCTCATCAGGAGTTCAGCAGCCTGGTTTCTCCGTGTCCACCCCCCACCAGCTTTCACCCATTCCCCAACCTTCACGGAGTCCCACCATCACCATTTCTTCCTCTTAGCCGTCTTCTCTTCCTGGTCTGTTCAGCTCCCCACTTTCTCCTCTTCTGTACTCTCAAGTTCACATTGATCATCCACCACCTGTGGTCCCTGAGGCATCTGTCATGCAGAGTAGCCATCGTCTCAAGCCCAGAGCAGTGTATCACTGTATTAACATTTGATTAGATGCTGCATCTAAATGATCTTTCATGTTTGTCTGAACGACCATAGCTCCTGACAGGTTGCTGAATGCCAGTTCAAATAATGGATTAAAAAAAATCTGAGCATACCGGTGTAAACTTTTTCTTTCTTTTTTTTTTTTTACAACAGTCTCTCTTGGACAAGTATCTGATTCTCAAAGCAGACTCGTCAGAGAGCAAAGTATTTTATTTGAAGATGAAGGGAGATTACTTCCGCTACTTGGCTGAGGTGGCTGCAGGACAAGAAAAGGAAGGTACGCTTTAATATACATATCTCTATTTGTTCTTCTTTTTTTAAACTTTTTCTCAATTGTCCAGTATATAACCATGTGTCAAAGTAACTCCTTAGTTCCTGCTGTATAATACACTCATGCAGTGCTTCCCCTACCGTCATCCCAGGAGGCGCCCCACCCATCAACAGAACCAGGCGCCCTGCCTACCAAGATGTCCTTCACCCACAACTGCCGGCACTCCTGTAGCGCTAAGCTAGCAGCATGCAATACAGCTCTAAAGCTACAGACGTAGCTGCTTTACAATCGCCAGCACTAATGTAGAGCTAAGCTAGCGCACAAGACAGACATGTCTCCATCACAGATTCCTAGATGCACCACTCCGTAAGCCTCCTGTGTGTATGTGGTCCGCAGCAACAAGTTTCCCCTTTTTTAGTTTTTAAACGGAAGAAAAAAAGCCCTGGACCTTGGATCAGATTTTTAATTTAGGCCCTTTGTGAAAATGAGTTGGGCCCCATCCAAAGTTTACACCAGTGAAAGAAGAGATTGGGTGATGTAGAGTTGAAACACTGATCTTAGGTCTGGAGCGGCTCCTGAGAAACCAGACGGCAACATTTTATAAATGTTCTGTTGTTCTTGTGGACCTCCAATCCTGCACACATTACACCCCACCTACTCAAACATAGTTGACGTGACTTCAGGATGTAGGAACAGCTTTATGCCCTGGAAACTGTCTAATAGATACTTTGTGTGTATAGTTATGAGAAATGTATTAAAAGTCATGCTTCCTAGCAAAGACTTTGCTATAGGTCTGCCAAATATTATATTTTCATATGTTAGGCTTAAACAGAATATATGACACATCCTCCCCTGCTTGATATTTAAAAAACTATGTTGATGTTCCCACACAAATTTAAGTAAAGTCAGTTAATATGTGATAAACCATTGAAACAACATAAAGGTAAACCTGTTGATTACGACACATCCAACTTCAACTTGTTTTGTTTTCTGTTTTTCTAGACACTATCAACCAATCACAGAACGCATACAAAGAGGCCTTTGAGATCAGCAAAAAAGACATGCAGCCAACGCACCCAATCCGCCTCGGCCTTGCCCTCAATTTCTCTGTGTTCTACTATGAGATCCTCAATACACCTGCAGAGGCCTGCAATCTGGCCAAACAAGTAATTTTACCACACACGCTCTCTTTATCTGAATGATTAACTTAATGGCTCTTGAGTATTTATATTTGGTCTGTGGAGCCAGTTCAAAGCCAACAATTGTTACACAAATTTAAACGCACTGGATTGGGACATATTTTATAGGTAAGAACTTATCAAAGCCAACTTTTCTAGATCCTAAAGAGCATGTTGTGTGTCCTTTAGGCTTTTGATGATGCCATTGCAGAACTCGACACGCTGAGCGAAGAATCGTACAAAGACAGTACACTAATAATGCAGCTATTAAGAGACAACTTGACAGTAAGTGTCCTTTTGATTTTATATATGTATATATATAAATATATGCCATGTCTGACCCAACAACTTGTTTGATCCCTCATGCTCTGATCACTTTCAGTGCTTTTGTTTGTTTGTACGTTTATAATATTAACAAATGAGCTCATGAACCAGTGCACAGATTTTAATCAAACGCTCGAGTGACTCATTGGACGTACAATAGCCCAATACCTGGGGCCGCTGTGGCTGAGTGGTTACAGCGGTCGTCCTCAAGTGGGAGAGTTGGGGGTTCAATTCCACCAGCAGTGTATGAATGCGATTGCTTCCTGTGCAGCTGCACACAGGTGCAGCAGGTGTTAAATAATTAAAAATATTTTAAATAAAAGTTCCATGCCAATTGTGTGGCTCATCCATCAATCAGCAAATTGTGTGTCATGTCCCATGTTCTTTTTAAAAAGCACGATGGAGCGAGTCTGCGAAGGTCGAACTGCGAAGTAGCGAGGGACTACTTTGATTCAGCCCATTTTACAAATATTGACACATTTGGTGCATTAGCTAAGAGTCGTTGACTTCACAACACGATCTGTGATCGTTAACACACCTTGCTAGATTTGTCCGTGTTGCACCAGACGTGTTTTCAAGGTGAACTCTGTCCTTATTCAGCAAACGATGATTTTAGTTCAGACTCAACATATACAGGGGGAGTTGGATACGCATTCCTCCAAGCAGGTTTAGGTCTTTTAGTTCATGTGTGTTTATTGTTCACAATCTAAAATGTTCAGAAATCATCAAAATATAATGAGCGGGTGATTATTATGCTACATCTTGAGGTCATCAAACTGTGCTCAGATTTGGGCTGTGAAAAACAAGATTCTCTTCCCATCGTTTGTGTCGCCACAGAAGAAAATGAGTGTCAGTTTAGACACAGCGAGGTGAACGGGAAGGCGTTGGTTATCCATAGAATGAGCAACTCAAGTGTTTTGAGGTTGAGCCTCTGCTCTTATTAATCTGCTCTTTGTTTTCCTTGTCCTGTCCATCCTCAGCTGTGGACTTCTGATAACCAGGGCGATGGAGAGGAACCAGAGGAGCCCAAAGAATGAGCTGCCTCCTCACAGTCACCCCGTCTGCCTGCCATCCTCCAGGATCACCTTCATCATGATCAACACTTCATGCACCTCACTGTCAACATCAAACTAGCCATTGTTTTCCTGTTTAGGTCTCTACTCATCTCACTAATTTGGGTTGACTATTTGTTCTGTAGTACCTGTGGGGGAAGTGGGATGGGAGAGAGTAAGATTTTAGTGTAACGGGAGGGTTTGTGTACTTTGGGGCATGATGCTTAGCTGCTAACCTTTTTCTGATGTGGAGAAATCTTATAAAATGCAAGTACCACAAGTTTTATTCTCATGAGAAACACCTGGCAACTCCAGATTTGAAAGTTAGACAGCCAACCTTGTTTGTATTAAATGAATCCTGTTGTTTTGAGGAACCTGCTGAGAACCTTTAGATGATAAATCCACGGTCGCTGCTCCTCGCACCTGGCAGGGCAGCAGCTGTCGCTCCATTCCAAGGAAAGGAATTACAAGAGAAACATGATGGTGTAATGGGGAACGCTGGAGATAAAAGGCAGGATTTTATACAGGTTACATTCCATGTACTGTCAGATGTTCAACGTTCGATGTCTTCATTTTTTTAATCGTTTGCTGGGGGGCTGCTTTTTTACATCTTCATGTCTGAGTAGGAATAGAAAAATTGAACAAGAGCATACAAGCTTGTGTTGCTGTTTTGGATGAGCACCGCAGCAGTAAAGAAACGACTTCTTTTCTATAACTACTGCTTTTCAGATGGTTTCATCTTTATTTTTCTCAGTTCTCGTCTAAACTGTTGGTAAGGGGTAGTTTGTGGAGAAGGAAGGTTGTTGGGTTTGTTGGCTTTGCCTTTGGAGTTTTCATACTGAACACTTGAGCATAACTGTTCTCTGGGGAAATGTGTACGGTCATGTTAGTGGAATAAAACACGAACAAAAAACATCCAGCTTGTCTTTTTTCAACTGATGTACTGGAGTGGTCGGCCCGAGTCCCAGTTCAACTG